GAAAAGTCAAGAAGGAGAAAACAAAAAGAAGACTTATTGTTTGCATACGTGGTCACTGATGCTGAAGAATCTGATGTTCCAAAGAGTGCATCTGGCCGTGCTTTGAACGTGATACAAGCTCCAATAAATCGCTTTGGTGCCCATGATGTGGCGTTTGACCAAATTTTGCTTGAATAAGATGCTCGAGGGATGGATCAGAATTCCTTGGAGCATGATGGGAACGCTGTTGTAGTTCATGTAAAATTTGTTGCTTCAACAAAACCTGATCAAGAGCATTGTTGGCTCTAACAGAATCAACACGAGACTGTCCACGGCCAGAATCACGCATTTGACTCTGCAGAAATTGTTCAAGAAGCAGCTGTCGAGCTTGAGACTGCTGTTGCTCCTGCAATAGCATTTGTTGTTGATGAAACTGCTGTTGCTGTAATTGATGTTGTTGGTCCTGCTGCTGCTGCTGTTGTTGTTGCTGCCATCACCGCCGTCAGATCCCCTGCGGTGGAAATCGGTGAATTCTCCGAGATCGATGAAGCCGTCGCCGTCCTTGTCGATCTCGGTCATCATACGATGAACCTCCTCGGGAGAGGTTTCGGTGCCGAGAGCTCTCAGAATGGATCTGAGCTCGGAGGAGGAGATCTTTCCGTCGCCATTGGCGTCGAACTTGTTGAATACTTTCTCGACTTCGTCTAAGTTGCCTAGAGATGTGACTGAATGTTTGCCGCCATTACTCGGACTATTGGCCATTTTGGTGGAGACAGATTGAGAGACTGGTCAGATTTAGTAGTCAGATTTAGTTACGAATGTATGTATGTATGTGTATGCTGATATAGAATTGGCAGAAGAGAAGTGTGAAGTCAAGTCAAGTCAAAACTTACGAAGTTCTTAACTCTGTATATAAGGGTGAGTTAACGCGGCATGAACGCGTTTCAGTGAATATCATTTTTATGTGGACGCGGTTCGAAGTTTCAGTTGATGCGATATTTTTTTGATGGGGTCTTTGTTTAATAGGATTGAAGCTATGGGATCTTAATTTAGAACTGGTTTGAGAAGTTAACATTTTATTAGAAAAAGTTAAAAAATTTATAATTAATATCGAAAAATTAGAGATTATTTCTCTTTATTTTTTGTATAACTTTTCGTAAAAATTTAAAAAGTTATCACAAACATATTAATTTTTTTCTTTCATATTTTAATTAAAAAATTACTAAAATAGTATGTTCCCAAACGAGACCTTAAAAAAATTATTAGTTGAGTGTTATATAATCATATTTTAAACTAATTATAAATTTTTATTTTTTTATAATAATCTTAGAGAAATGCTTTAAATCATTAATTAATGGTGGCTCTAATGATGTGATAGTAGATCCCATTCACTGTCACAGTATGTTTATGTCTTGTTTTTTTTTTTTTTTTAAAGTACTTGTCAACTCATTAGTAGTGTTTTAGAACACCACTTTCAACAAGATGTATCATTACCCTTTATAATTAAAAAAACAAAAAAAAAAAAGACTGATTTGATAATTCCTTTCTTTCCAGCTTCGTTACCGGCATCATATACAGATACACGTGGAAGCATTTAAAAATGTCATAAGACGACAAACGGCACCGTCTGACAGGTTGCACCGTCGATCAGTGCATTTTTAGTTGTGGGCAGCACAGCACTTCATCAAAACCCGCGTCTTTAATTCCCAAAATCAGAGTCAAAGTCAGAGAATCCAATGCTCATCCCATCACCCACTAGCTCTCAACTCCAAAGTTATTATTTGGTGAACTCAGCATTTCTCCTCACATACACTAGTCATCTTCACAAATCCAACAAAAAATATAGAGGCCAGTTTCGAAACTTAGCTATTTTAGGCATATTTTGGTTTGGGAGGTAGAGAAAAAAAAAAAAAGAATAGATTTTTTTGTTTAAAAAAAGTGTAAAAAAGTAAAAGAATGATATGACTCAAATAAGTCAACAAGCTAATTTTTTTTTAATTGTCAAAATAGGCCTTAATTGACTTCTTAGCTTTTTGATGGATAAATGTAACATTTTGTCTTATTAACTATTTCAATATTTTTTTTATTGACGATTTTAACTAAAAAAACAAACATCCCAAACAGGGTAAGTCTCATTTCGAAATTGACTGTTTTAATTAATTTTTTAATATTTAAAAAATTACAATAATTTATAATAATTTTTTAATTTTTTATTTAAAATTATGTCATCTCAAACAAATGTGTGCATATCATCCCTCGCATGCCAGCATGATTAGGTTGCATTGCATTTAGGGTTGCATGTTAGTCGCATTGTGTATGCCATCTCATTGCATTGTGTTTGGAGTAGGGTTAGTCCAAACACGGGAAATGAGGGACGTTTCGTACTCAAAGTGACGAAACATGTCTCAACTTCCGGTCGCCGACACTCTTGACTATCTATGATAGAGTTGTTGGGTTTACTTGCTTATATGTGCATTCATGTCCCATTGAGTCGTGCAATTCGACTTCTCGGCCATCATGCATTGAGATGCATGATTGGTGACACGAGGATCGAGGACTACACTTCCTTGAGCTTGTGCAAGGACGGGGAGAGTGGTCATGCACACATTTGTTGAAAATACATTGCCTTTTTTCTCTCTTGCCTTTGTTGCAGAAAAAATCAGAAACTAGAGGTGGAAACTGGTTGGCCGACCAGATTTTCTGGCAGGTCGACCACCCTCTTTGGTCTCCACCACAAAGGGTGGTTGGCAGGTGGTCTCCCATGCTAATAATTGGTCGGTGGCCTTCCCAAGGTGGAGTTTCAGCCTTCTGGAGCTTTGTGCAAGTTTCTAAGATCCATTGCAAACAAGGGCGAGGCGAGGCATCGCGATGGAATTTACTGACAAGGCGACTCGAGCATGCATACACCCTTTGCCATCCGAAATAGAGCTGAGGCAGTCCATTGTATTTAGTTTGCATGCTAGTTTATTGCTTACTTAGTTAATTTGTTGATTAATTAATGTTGTGTAATAATTAGCTGTAATTTGTTATTTAGCTTAGATTAGCTAGATGGTTTGTACTATTCATTCGGACCTTCCGAGCGAGGGCACAATTGTAATAAGTGTGTGTGTGTGTGTGTGTGTGATGTATGTCTTCCAACCCCACGTCTTTCTCCCTTTGGCAACTTTCCAGTTGCTAGGAT